GGGGACCCACACCGACAGCCCCGTGGTGAGAGCCCTGTGCATGTCACACACCTCCTGCTGCAGCACTTGTGCTGAGCCATGTCACAGCCCTCTTCTCACTGCCTGACACCTCTGCAGCTCGTGCTGCTCACAACAGACAACACCCAAAGTCAAACCATGACAACCTCTGAGCCACCTGCAAGGGCTCCCTGCCCTCTGGCACCTCTCTGCCTGCTCTGAGCAGCACCTTGCTACCACTACTGCCCAACGCCTCCTCCTGGAGTGCCCTGCCGTCTGCAGGGCCTGAGAGGGGGCTGCAGGCTGTCAGGGACCAAGGCAGGGCTACAGGCTGCCAGGGGCATTCGTGGTGAATCCGTGCCAGTGCTCAGGTCCCTCCTGCTGCTGGGACCAGGGCACCAGCCGTGCCAGACCTGTGCCTGCCTGTGGGCATGGCTGGCCCTGGAGCAGCACCCAAGGTTGGCAGCTTGGCTCCTGGGGCACAGCATGCTCTGGGCTGTGGACAGTGATCCTGACACACCTTAGGACTACCCGTGGGAGAAACAGCCTGAGGGACACAAGACCGAGGGCTGTAGCCAGTGCCCATGCAATGCTCACACTGCAGCTCCACCGGGGGGCTGCACACCCCCAGGTGTGCAGGGACAGCGAAGGGCAGGAGGCCATCGAGTATCTCCTCTCAAACCCTGTATTTATTAAATGTCAAAGCCTCCAGATGGGCTGGGCTGAGGCCAAGCCCCAAGTGTTCTCCAAAACATCTCCATTTCGGAGCTGGGTCAGAGCCAGCCCCATTTCAAGCTGCCGCCAAGTAACGTGGAACCTGGACTCCCTGAGAGCAGAGCAGGGAAAACGATCTTTTCTGCTCCACATGTGCAGAACCTGCTTTTTATAGTTTGTTTCTTTAAAAGTTTGGTCCATCTGAAAGACTCATTAGATGCTTTATGTAAATATTTCATAACAAAACCCTATGACTATAATCAGGTTCTGCTTGGCCTTTGCTGCTCTCCCTCCTTCCCTCCCTCCCTCCTTCTCTCCCTCCCTCTCTCCCTCCTCCTACTCTACCACACACTTCTCTGCAGAGAGTATTTTATTCTCCATAGCACTGAATGAACAAAGGGCAGAGGAAAGAAAGCAGCAAGGAGGATCTCCTGGCTGAAACAAGTACTCCTCGCTCAGGATGGAGACAGGGCTGGACCCAGGCCAGGAGAGAACCCAAATAATTCAGGAAAAGGTTTTGGAGCCTCTTGTGATTGAAAAATCAGACTAAAAGTCACAGCACAAACCCTCGTGCCAGCAGCTGAGAGTCAGCAGCGAACGGGGAGGTGCTGAGAGCCTGAACTCACAGTGTGCTGCAGCATCTCTGCTTCCAACAGCCACAGGAGAAAATCCACAGAAAACGAATCTGTCTACACTGAACAGAAACAAACAGGCCTTACCTTGGTGAACCCAATCTGCTCCTTCCGAAAGTTCTCCAAAGGTTTGATAAGCAAATCACTCGCATTCTGCACCTACAGCGCAAAGGAAAATCACTTCAGTCGCAAGACATGTATCAATTTTCTCCTGAATAGAGGCTGAGCAGGGCTAGAAGCCAAGAACGCTCAGGTTTTAGTGCCTTCGACTGCAAACCTGTTCTGTGTCTGTAGGTGAATCACTTAACTCATCGGTACCTGCTTTTCCCCACCAGTAACACATAGCAAACCCCAATCACAGGAGGCTTTGGGGACATCCTGTGGGTGACACCAGGTGTGGCCCCATCCTGACCTAACAACTCTGCTCCCACAGAAACGATGGACTTCCCTTTTTCCTAGCTCTGGCCTGGAGAGGAATGAAGTAGGTTATCTGTCACAGGAACAGCCAGGGAAAAGGGAAAGTCCCTTCCACTTACCTCTGAGAGATGCTTTCCCGGGACATGCCCTGCACCCCCTTGCCATGAACCCACAGGAAAGCTCACCCCAGTTTGTGTCAGTGGCTCCAGCTCCACCCTGGCACTGGGACCAACCTGCCAACAATTCCTGTCCCCACTTTGGCTGTGACAGGCTCTGTGCTGAGCTCCAGAGAAGGGAGAGGGGAAGAAGAGGGGACAGGACACCAAACTGCCACAGCTCTTCAGGCAACTGAGAGCTGAGGAACATGAGGAGAGTGTGAAATCTCCGAGAGAGCTGCTGCAAAGAGCTGCTCCTACAAGGGGAGGGAAAAGAAAACCCCAAGACCATGGACAGTGCCCATGACCCCTGAAACGATCTCTGAAGCAATACCTTCCACTGCTCACCCGCTGCCAAAGGAGCCACTGTACCTGGGATGCAATTAGTAACACGAGTATCTCACTGCTCTCCTCCAGCCTCCTCCAGGCTCCTGCCTGCCTGCCCTGGACCCATGTCCCAGCCTGGCACGAGTTCCTGCTGCTGCACGTGGGAATGCC